ATAATTTACGGTATATGCAAAGTACCTATTTATTTGTTTTATGTGTATGTACCGGCTGTATTATGTCTATATTAACGTTACAATTTACTTGTTTCTTTGTGGCAGTGGTAAGTAGAGTATTATCAGAGTACCGTTCTAACGCTGTTCTCGCTGTTGTTGTCCCGAAACACTCGATCGTGACAGTTGGTTAGGTATGGTTTTCTTTTTGGATTCCTTTGCGGTTTAGCTCTGTCTGCTGCGTCTGCGTATTGGTATGTATATTTAGGTATTGAAAAACGCAATACGCAATATACATACATAGATAGATATTGTACATACATATATATATATATATATATATATATATATATATATATATATATGTATATATATATGCTTAATTTGCTGGGTTTGTTCTATATATGCAATTGGAATGAAGAGGATACAAAAAAAATAAGTTCTAACAAACTAAACATTCTAAATTACATTTTAAATTTAGTTTGTTCTTTCCGCTTCGTTTTATGGTGGGTTTTAGAAAATTATTTCAAAGTTAAATGTTAAATTGGTATTCATTTTTTGTGTTCTTTTTCGTTCATTTAGGTATCCGTTGACCTGACTACTTGAGAACTATTCGCTATCTGCTCTCAATACGATTTTAACTATTCTTTAGACTATTTCTTATTCCATTTTATTATTAAATTTGCATATTAAGTAGGTAGCAAAATGCTGGTGGTAATATTTGTATTATTTCCGCTAATATTTCACTATTAATTTAAGATTTGGTATATTACTTCGTTTTAGTTCAATGACGCGCTAGAAAAGGTTTCAACTGATTGAAAACAATAACAAAAAAACTGGGGTAACTCTGAGACTTTTCATGACTGGGGGATTTCGAAAGATGTATACACTATTTATTGTACATATGTATGTATGTATGTAGTTTGGTGTCGATTGCAAGAAAAACTCTCCTTTTCTGGGTAGGGAGTTTTGTAGTTGTTGTTGTTGATTTGTTTCGTTTCGTTATGTTTTAGTTTTGTTTGGTTTTCAGTCTTTTCAACAAATTGATTGCTTGGATTTTGTAAATTTGTTTGCTGGATTGTTCTTGATGTGGCTGTGTATTTTTTTCTAGTTGTTGCTGATATCGGTGTTGGTTTTCATTTGTTTGATGTTCAAGCTTCGGATTTTGCCTGATGAGAAGAGCTACGCTACGGTTTTTTAACTAAAATGTGTGTTGTATTTGCCTAACATTTGATGGAGCATGCTCATGATTTGTTACACTTAGTTCTTAAGTACTTTTCCCTTTGTTTTGGTTGTTAATATTATGCTTATTATAACTCGCTAACGCCCTGAGCATTTGGTCTCCATTTACTTGTTAAGTTCGACAGAAATTTATTTAGAAATGGCTTTAAAACCCAAAACAAAGTCCCCGTAAAGCGTCAGTGGGTTCTCAAAGTAAGTTGTGGGTGTGTGTAACAAAGAGTAGGAGGTAGGATAGGATCCAATATTCTGGGCTAGAAAAGTAAATGAAACTTTAGGCACATTTAATACATACATAAATTCACATATTCATTTTATATACTTAGGCATATGCACTATCCAAACTTATCCAAACCGCAATACAACTGAGCTCTCGAATTCCACTTTGAAACATAAAGATAATCCGGAATCGTCTGTGTGTGTTTTGCTAGCGCTGCTGCCGATATTTCCGTTACCATTTCATTTCGATTCGATTCTATTAGTCGCATGCTTTACGAATGCGTATAATTTGTTTTGTAGTTTTAGTTACTTTCTCTAATACTCGTATTAATGAGTGTTCGATATTGTGCAATACATTTCGGTAAATTAGTTCGTTCTTCTGTTACACTCACTGTTAATTAACAGTAATGCTTAGTCGCTCTGTGTATCTGCATAATTATCAATTCATATTTGCTCAACATATTCTTTTTCTTTGTCTTTTTCATTTGTCATTTGCCAGCTAACAGATCAGATGGTGGCTTGTTAGTTAATTTAGTTTATTAGAATTAGGTATTTACTCTAAGTTAAATGCATATACAATTTGTAGTACTTTGGTTGCCTGCCAATCATGTTTTATTTTATTTAATTTTATTTTATTTTGTTTTAGTTTAGTATGTAACTATTTATATGTATGTATTATGTAGTTGCTGCTCTGCCGCTATTAATTTTGGTTTAGGTTTGTATACATACATACTTCTATACGTGAATACTTTTGCATTAACAATATATCCCATTCAGCGTCAATTTGGTTTTTGGTTTTTGCTTTACTTGTTTAAATGTACGATATGACACAGTGATATATATTCCATAGTATATGTTATTCTAAAGTACAAGTACAAATACATATCGAACAGGGTTAAGCCCAGAGCACGCAGCTCAAGCGGCACAAGCAAAGAACACGCCACGCAGCCCAACTTCACCATCTGAACCACATCCCACATCCCACACCCATTTCCATTTCTATTTCCGCATCCGTTTCCACCACCAAACCCCCCAACTGATCGTTTCACCCTCCTTGTCCCTTCTCCTCTTTTCCCCTGCCACCACATCTTAAGGCTAAGCTAACTACAACTAAGAAGCCACAACGATTCGCAAATCAATTGAAGTTTTGTCCTAAGTACTCGTGATACATATCTGCCTCCAAAGTGTCTCATCTACTAGTATTTGGTATTACATATACATATGTGGAATATGTTTCGAATTTGTAACCTTTGGGTCGTTCAACGATTAAAGCTTTTGGGTGAACAAATTAAAAGAGAATTGGTTGGGTGTCTAGTAATTACTGGGTAGGGGTAATACTATATATAATAAAAGGTATATATAATATATGTAAAATGAAGGCGACAGCTGTAGTAACATTGACGTTTCTTTGGTATGTAATAATTGTACGACTTTAAAATCCTAAAATCAATAACCAGGATGGGCAGCTAGTAAGTCGGTTCGGAGATGGCCCTCGCCCTGGCCCACTTGACCTCTACAAATGAACATTGCTCCTCGTCTGATTTTTGTTGCTGTTTTTTAAAAACTCTACACTCTATATGCAATAATTAACAATTCACTATATAAAAATCAATTTGCCTCAACTATTTGTTTGCCTATGCTGTGGTTTATAACTCTTTGGTTTGAGAATCATGTGTAACACTTTAATTTTTCTCCATTCATATAAAATAAATCTGACAACAAGTAACCGAATAATTATCTATTTAAAATCTTAACGCTTCCCACACCTCAATGTCTCCTTCTATCTCTTGCTCATTCGGGGTACAGTACAGTACATCAACATCAGCAACGCTTTGATCAATATTTTGAGTTAGTATTTAAAATCAAATAATGCACAATCTTGGTTATGAATATGTTTACGTTAATCCCATGCTAATAATTGATTTGAAATTTGAATCTGAACTTGAACTTGAATTCCGTATATGGTAGCTTGTTATTTCATTTGTGATTGGGTTCTTGTAGGAAGTTGTACTTTGCATGAAGACGAATGATTATGCTTGGTGTTATGTTTTGGGTAGCCAACACAAATGTACATCCATAGTATATACTTCTGCCATATTTTCTGACTGCTAGCCTGCTCATCTGTATATACTCGTATTTATTGCTTAAGATTCTCCCTGACTGGCCTAATTTAAATAATATTTTCACTATGCTATGTTTATATGTACTATATGTATGTATCTGCCATGACTGCATAAGCCTAGGTGTATATACTATACCTATATGACTATGACTAGAAACTATCTTGAACTGACAAACATTGACTAGCTGACTAGCTGACTAACTGACCGACTGACTGATGATACTCTAGCTAAAGCACAAACGTTGTAAGTATATTGTGGGTATTTACAGTTTCGTAGCATTCGTTATCGAGGGTTATTTCTATTGTATTATATTTGATATATGTATGTATGCATGTTCATATATTTTTTATAGATTTGTTATAGTACGGATTGGGATTAAGCACAGTTGGGGGCCGTACATACATACATATTTTAGGTGTATATATAAAAAGCTTTGGAAACATAAATGCTGTAAAATCTGTCCCTTAATCGCAAAGCGTGTTTAATTTTTTGTTATTGTATAGTTGTTATATATCTAACTTTTACTTTACTTCTCCATCTTTTATTTAGTTTTTTTTTAGTTTTTTTTGGTTTGTTTTGTTTTGTTTTGTTTTTTTTTCCATCGTTTGTATAATTATGTTTAAATGTTTATAAATATTATACTGTATTGTTGTATATTAGTGTGTATATCAGACTTTGTTTCATACCAAAAACTAAGCACATCGATTCGTCAATAAATTCATGTATTTGTATGTTTTTTTTACGTGTGTGATGTTTGCGTGTGATGTATTATCGAATCACCGATCATCAGATATCGAATACGTTAACAAACACAAATAGCTCCAAGTATGCAGGCGGCTGTTTTGGATTCGTATCGAAGCATACCTTATACAATTCTGGTATGGTTATATATTTGTATAAGAGTATATTACATACATACATGTAAGAGGCGTTGAGAAACATTTTAGGCAAATATATTGCTCGAAAAGTTGTCCAGTAATTACTTGTGTTGGGCTTTTGCATAGATTTTACATACACATATACACATACATAAAGATATATAAATACATACATATATGTATATATATGGTATATAGCGGATTTATAGATTAATAGAGTTGGTCACATTGAAACACACACATCGCATACGCTGTGCTGTGGTTGGAAGGTGGAAGGGATAGAAAATGTATGTAGAGAGTTTGTAATTCCAAATAGTTGGGGGAGGGGACTGGGGACTATGCAAAAATATCTCATTAGCATAATATAATTTTATTGCATGTCTATTATGTATAGGCATTGTACATAAGTATGTATGTCTGTATATATGTAGAAATTGTTGATTTGTTATGTTGCTTGTAAAAATTAAATGCGCGATCAACCTTTTTGTTTAAGTTTGTTCTTGTTCATGTTCATGTTTTTGTTGTTTTTAGTTGTTTTTATACTATTTATAATTTGTAATTTGTTGTATACTATGTTTATCATTCTCTTGTTTTGTTTTGTTATGTTTTGCTTTTAGTTCATTCAAAAATACTGTTCGTAAATGTTATTGAATTCGGATTTATGTTAGCTAAATGGCTGCCCACCCTCCCACTGTTGGTGTCAAGCATTACGGAAAAGTATTAAAGCTTTCCGTTGGGTTAACATACGCACACACACACACACACACACACACACACACACACACATACTCAACACACACACACACAGAGAAAGCTCGGCAGCCATGTTGGCCTTCCGTTTAATAAGAGGAGATATACAATACGTAAGTATCCGCGTGTTCAGTGGGTTTTAGCATAGTTTTTCTAGTTCGATTATTGTTTATCGGTTTATATATTCGTATTATTCGTTCTATGTAAATTTGTAAACTGTAAATACTCCAAAAGAACACTTTCAGCATTGTCTGTCTGTCTGTCTGTATGGAAATCGGTTTCGGTTTCTGTTTCGGTTTCGTTTTCGTAATCGTATCGTACTAGTTCGTTATCTTTAGCCCCATCGAACGGATGCCCATGCCCCCATTCGTTTTATCCACTCACTTGAGATCGTCGTACTCATCGCTACCGTTCTTGGAGTCGCCCGACGACTGGAATGCCGCCATCACGGTCGCCCTATGATGACCCTTGTCCGCCCCCAGCTTATCCTCCCCATGGCCATTGTTACTACCGCCGTTGCCCCCATTGCTACTGGGCTTCTCGTCGAAGGCATCGAGGAAGGGATTGGTGGCAGCGTACTGCGCCCGATATGTGCCCAGGGTGTGGTAGTTGTTGCCCCCATTGGTAAAGGGACGCGAACTGCTGCCGCTCGAGGTGCTGCTAGAGTAGAAATCATAGCTATTGGTGGAGCCCGTCATGGAGCTGACCCCGCTGCTGGTTGTCGTACCCGCGCCGCTGCTCGAGTGGTAGGAGGAACTGGCACTGCTGCCGAACAGAGCAGCACCCGAGCTGGCGGCCCCACTCTTTGGCAAAGTGCCGTACAGGTGCATGGCATTGTGGTTGCCGTTGCCATTGGTGCTGGTGAAGGGACTGTTGGTGCTGCCCAAATGGTTGTGATTGCCGCTGGCCCCATTGCCATTGCCCAGGCCGCTGCTACCAAAGAGAGCGCTGCCATAGCTCCTGGGCTCTGAGCTCGAACCTGATCCCGAGCCCGAGCCCGAGCCCGATCCCGCTACCGACTTATTACTACTGCTGGCTGTGTTCCGCGAGTCGTTGGTGTAGGTTGTCGTGGTGCTGGATGCACTGGCGTTGGCCGTGGTTCCACCAATGTAGGTCTTGGTCTCCGTCTCCGACGATGACGACGAGGCCAGGCTGTCAAACAGCCGCCGTCCGGTCGACACAATGGATGAGGAGCCACTTACCGCTGCTCCGGACTTACTGTCCTTGTTCAGGCGCGAGGGCGATGACAACTTCTGGCTGTTGGTGTGGTTAGTGTTCGTGTCCGCTGAGCTTGGCGACGATGTGGTGTGCTTGCTGATCGCTCCCGTTGTGGCGCTGGGCTTGATAGAAGAGCCGGGGCCGGCGACAGTGGGCGTGACCAGTTGGTATGTGCCCTTGGGCAGACCATCCCCACCGCCTGGCGGCGATGGTGACTCCGGCGACTTAATCGGAGTGAACTGGACTCTCGGCTCGCGCTTTAAATACTTCGACATCAGCTGGCTGGTGGTCATTGCCTGCGACTGTGCCAGCAACGCGTTGGTGGAGGCCGATGACTTGTACGATAGCAGATCGTCCGAGTCATCGGAGGAGGTGGTGGGTGCCGAGGTGGCCGTCGAGCCGGCACTCAATACCGTTGCCTGCGACGAGCTGGAGCTTGAGGTGGCACTCGACTTGTTGCGCATCGCCTTGTACTCATCGCTGGCGTTGAGGCTGGTCTTGCTGGGGGTGTAGTTGTTGCCGCTGTAGCCGCTGCTCTTCTTCGTCTCCAGGCTGGCGTACTTGGAGCTGTAGCTGGTGGAGTCGTCGCCGGCCAAGCTCTTGGACAGCGCTTTGTGCGGTTCATAGAAGTCAACGTTGCCTTTGCGTGTTGTCGTGCTGCCGCTGCCGCTGTAGCTGTTGCCCAGACCTAGGGCTGATGTTGCATCCGACTGGGTGGTGGGTGTGATGGCATCTATGGGTGCATCCTTCTGCAGCGGTGGCTTCTTCTGCACAATGGAATAGGGGCTGGCCGTATCGATGATCTTGACTTGCTTAACGGAGACAGGTGAAGCACCGCGCTTGATGGTATCCGTGCCTGCAACGGGAGTCCCATTAGAGTCTCTATCTTGGTATTTTGTCTGGATCTTTTATCTTTCTTACTTTTACCCGAGCCCGATCCGGAGCCCGAACCCGTCGACGCCGAGCTACTGCCTGGGGAGGGTGTGCCTGGAAGTGGCAGTGGCGATTGGTCGGGAATTGCTGAGCCCACTGATCCCGCCAATTGATAGGGCTGCAAGATATCAGAGCAAGACAGAAAGAAAGAGAGAGAGAGGGCGTAGGATAACCCATGAAGTTGGTCAATTGTTTGTTTGCATAGGTATCAAAACGGGGGCTTTATACGGGATATATAGGGGGCGCAATACGTGCAGTGGAGTGGTCATCTGGTTAAAGTCTTATTTATACGAGTAGGGTGTGCAGAGTGAGAGAGAGAATTTTGAATTTAGGCTCGGCTGTTGGTGTGTTACTGGTATACATAATGGGTGTGTGTGTGTGTGTTAGTGGATGTTCGGTGTAGAGTGTACAGTGTAGAGTGTAAGCAGATATAACGTTTCACTTTGTGCTGTGTGCGATACGTTCTCAAACGGTTGGGGGGGGCGGCCAATTCGTAAACCAATCAGATAGTTATTATACTCTTTATTCGGTTGTGATTCCGGGGTAAGTTAGGAACGAGGTGAGTACGGGGGTGAGTGGTGGGTGATGCAAAAGCGTGAGGTGTTCGGACATGCAAAACGGAGTGCCATGAACGATGTGCAGTGGATAGAAAAAATACAGTAAATGGTGCAGGAGAAAGCAGGTCCCTTGTCAGTCCCAAAATAATAATTAATAACGGAAGTAGGGTCTAGGATGTTCTATATATTTTGTATGTATTTTCCCCAACACTTTGCTCTAAGTATTCTACATCGGCTGTGATTTGGGCGACAGGATGGCTCATAGGGCACTGAAAAAAGTATCATCTCCTGGGAGGAAGGTGTGTGGGCTACTGCACAGTGGAATAATATAATGTACGAGGGGCAATGATTCGATGAAGTTTGTACAATGGCATTGTGGTATATGAAGCATTTACATGGTGTGTTTTCTTTCTTTTTTTTGGCATGTGTTTACATACAGAGATTACATGTACGGGCTATACATATATGGACTACATATATTGGATTGAATTGGATTGGATTGGTATACAAAGTGGTATAAATAGTCGATATGTTTATATTTTTTACCAGTAGTGGGCCAATCATGCTTTACACGCCGTTCAACAATTATCACATCGCTCAAATCATCATCATTACCATCATTACGTTATATACATACATATATCATACATACATACAGTACATATATCGATATGTTTAAGTAAATAAATATATGCGATTATATGCGTATGTATGGGTCACAATTACAACGTCTATCGATCACGGATCACAACAAATTATGAATAACTTTACTATATATCATAAGTATCTTTTCGTAAGCAGTTAGTTATTTTTGTAAGTATTTCTCGTAAAAAGCTCAAATCAAATTGACAACAGATAATGCTCTTGAAAGATTCAGTTGGTAAGTAGGCTCAGTAGGTTAATTAATAATGTACGTTTGTATATATTTTCATCATCGTTTGCAAAACGGTCAACAGGAAAAGTTAAAGAGCAAGAATATGTTTTTGTTTATGTGTGTGTGGAGTGTGTGGGTGTTTTTAGTAGTGAAAGTGTGTGTAGAGAAGGTGTGAATAAGTGGCATAGTATGAAAATGGTTTAATGCTGACTGAAAACTCCCAGCAAAACCATACAAAAAATACGCCCATCGAAAAGGAATAAATTATAAGTATTTTAAAATAATTTTGGAAGATATTCGAAAATATCTCTGAAATTCCTAAGAAGTTGTAGGCTTAGGAGAAAAATAAGTCTAACTTTAGGAATTTTGTTAAAAAATATATACGAACAAAAATTGTTAAAAGAGAATTAAAATATAAAACCAATAAAATATGCAAATAAATGATTAAAATAAAAAAAGAAGTATTTTCAAAAGAGTTTTAGAGATATTCTTAAAGATCTTTTATAGATTTAATATAAATCGAATTTAAATTTAAATCATTTAAATAGGTATTTGAAGTACCCCACCCACAGCTATAAATAAATTATGACTGTAGTCTTATATGTACGTGTATGTTAGTGAGGTAGATGGATGATATAGTAATGCATAAGTAAATTATGTTTCTTGTCTCTTTGTTGCTTTGTTCTCATTTGTTAGTTGTTTATGTTGTTAGTGTTGCTGTGTTGCTGGTTACTGTTGTTGTTGTTGTTGTTGTAGTGTTTTTTTACCTGTTGCACCGCTTGTTGCAAGGCTCGATGCGATTGAGCTAACTGACCCACTACTGATTGATACAGATGACTGTTGGCTGTGGCTGAGAGCTGAGGATGGCCTTGGGAGAGTATGTTGGTTACCGAAGTGGACGAGCGCAGGAGGTTGCCCGCCGCCATGAGCTGCTGCTGCTGCTGCAGTAGAAGTTGCTGTCTGTCCGCTGGCAACACACTGACTTTGCTTCCACGCTGCCCTGTTGACTCGCCGCGCCGACCTGTCTACATAGGACTCTGTATTAATCAATATTAATGTGAACGCAAATCGGTGTGTGTATGTGTATATGTGTGTGGGTTTATGTGTGTGGGTGGGTGTTTGTGAAGTAACAGTTAACAGTGAAAACGGTTTCTGTGCCGCGCTTTTAACAGAGAGAGAGAGAGTAGAGAGAAGAATGAATATCTTGACTGGAACAGCGGCTTTCAAAGCATATAAGAAAGAACTTTAAGAAACTCTTGCAGGTGTACGTGTGGGTGTGTGTGTGTGTGTCCTCTAGTCGTGTGTGAGTGTGAGTCGGTGGTTCGGGGATCTGTTGGTGGTTGGATTGGATTCATCATGGACACTGGGAGTACGTTACCTGAAGCAACGCCGGCCATGTTGCTCATGCTGCCGGCCGTGGCCAGGCCGCTCATCATTGAGCCCGTTGCGCCGCCCATGTGCTGTGCCAGCTGCTGATGCTGCGCCTGCGGCTGTGGCCAGATCTGCAGCAGATATTTGAGCACTGCGATCGGCTGGGCGTGATCGATGTCAGCGCCCGGCTGTGCGCTGGCCGAATGCAGCATCAGCGGTGGGCCCATCACCGTGGCCAGCGCCTGGGCGGACATCTTATTGCGCTCAGAGTTGGACACGACCAGCGACAGATGGTCGAGCAGGAATACGAGAGTGGCCTGCAGAGCAGAAGCATGAGAAACCACCTCCAAGGGGACACAAACTGATTTCCACTCACCCTGTTCGCCCTGGGCAGGCAATCGAGAATGCTAAGCATCAATTTCGCATTGCCCTCGGGGTCATCTGGCAAACAGACAGCTGTGGATGCATTAATGGTTGCAATTATCTGTGTGGGAGTATGTGGGAGTAATTGCTCACCCAAGGCGTCGACTGTCATCTGGAAGAGGCAGCGCGTGAACAGCGGCTCGGGCAGCTCCCTGAGGTAGTCCTTGAGCACGCCGGTGATGACATTGATGTCAGGAACATGTTCCGGGCTCAATTCCACGGCACGGCTGTTGCGCTCGAAGGCCTCGCGCAGCAGGCGCTTCTTGGTGGCCGAGCCGCACAGTCGATACAGCCCGATTATATCGAGGCCCCGTCGCTCCACCTCCTCCACGCAGCGTCGCAGCACAATTGGCACTGGGGCACAGCCCGGTGCTCCCTTGGACTCCCTGTTGACGACCGTCTCCAGGTCGGCGCCGAACAGCGTCGGATAGCCGGCCCTCAGGCTGGGCAGGCCACGCCTCTTGTACAGCGCCAGTGGATCCGTGTGCCGCATGCGGATGTAGATGGTGCCGCGGGGCTCCACCTTGAGTGCGAGCTGGTGCAGCGGCGACTGCCGTAGGATGGCCGACAGCGAAATGGCTCCCCGGTAGCAGAGCTTGTGTCTGTGCTGAGGGTCCCAGGAGTAGACCAGGACATCCAGCTGCTTGTTACCCACCAAGTCCAGCTCGAAGGACTCGTCCCAGTCGAACTGCAGGTCCCCGGATCGAACCACGGTGCGTGCCTTGTGCACGCGATCGCACTCGATGACGCAGTACAGATCTCTGGTCTGGCCAGGCGGCGCCCCAGGCTGTGCCCCAGCCCCCTCGGGAGCCGTTCTCAGGCCACGACCCGCCAACAGATGGATCCACAACATGCCCGACACCCCACCAATGTCCACTATCGGCTTGTCCAGCTTGTACTTGGCAAACTCGGCCGGATTGATGTCGATCTGGCGATGCTGACGCGGCAAGGTGGCGCTGGGCGTCGGGGCTGGACTCTGGTGGCCGCCGGTGCTCATGATGCTGCCACTAGGACTGGCCGGGCCAGCGGACAGTTCCAGCAGCTGTCTCATGCGTCGTATGCTGGGCGAGCGTATGGATCCAGCGCCGCCGATGTGCTGCGAGGACATGGATCGCACAGGCAGTGCGGAAATGGGACGCGTGAGGCCCATATTCCGATCGAGGGTGCCAGCTCCCAGTATGCCCGTTCTACTCGAGTAAATGCTCTCCGTCTGAAAGCCAAACAGAAGTCATCAGAATGGAACGGAAGGGTGTGGAAAAGTCGCCGCAATACTTACGTTCCTCAATGCATCGTGGATGTTCTCGGCGCTGCAGGAGAACCGCTGCGATCGCGGCTGGGCAAACATGTCGCGCGTCATTCGCATCTGTTCCGCGATGGCCGAGCTGCTGGGCGCTCGGCGCAGCCAGGCACGGTACTCGTCCGCTGTGAAGATCGATGGACTGGCGGTGATGCGCTGGCGGAGATCTCTGCCTCGTCGCACATCGAACTCCGGCGCCGAGGTGTTGCCATCGTTCTCGTCCACCAGGCGATCGCTGATTCTGGTGCGGATGCCCTGCAGCCTGACCCCGGGCCTCTCCCTGGGCAGCGAGTTGAACTTGTTGAGATCTGCGGCACTGGCCAGCAGCGCAGCCGTGGCCGCTGCTCCTCCGCTCATGTGGCCCCCGGCACCGCGCGGCATGCTGCCAATGGCGGGCCTGTTGTAGTAGTAGTAGCTGGGACGCGGTCCGATCGTGGCCTCCGTGTCGCTGGAGTAGTCCAGATTGGGCCGGGAGCGACGTGTCAGCGATTGGGCTGCGGCAGCCGGCGGTCCGTACTTGGACACCGTATTGGCACGCTGCTGATCATAGCGGCCGTAGCGGCCCAGCGTTCCACCCACGCCCACGGGCATGGGAGCGCCTGTGCCGGGCTTGAGGCTGGAGCGCAGCAGCGAGTGGCGACCCAGGGAGTTGGAGTAGTCGGCGTACTCCACTCGCGGCAAGTGCTGATCCGAGCCGGAGCGCGGGAAGCGCGCATGCTGCTGGGCAAGTCCCACATTTCCGGTTCCCGTGGACATGCGACGCGACTGACCCACCGGCTGTCCGGGCGCGCCCGGATAGAAGGCGTGCACCTTCTCGGCCAGGCTCTCCAGCGTTCCCGCGTTCTGGTAGTAGGCATGCGAGGGCGCAAAGGCGTGCCCCTTTGTGGGCTGCTCCGTGATCACCGACGAGGGCGGTGGCGGCGGCTTGTAGCCCCAGTTGGGTGGCTCGCCCATGGCATTGACGGGCATGCCACCGCCCCCACCGCCGCCGCCGCCGCCTCCACGCGTGTTGTAGTACATGTCCAGCTGCTCCGACTGCGGGCTGTAGTTGTTGAGGCCCAGGCCCAGCCTGGAGCGCGACTCGGTCATCTCGCGGCCATCACCTGTGTGCGATGGAGGGGTAGCAGGAGAAAGAGAAAAGGGGAAGGGAAAAGGAAACCCGATAAGCATTTCAAACACGGCCTCCATTTCAAACTACCTGTACGTCTTTCACGTGATGAGCGCGGCGGCCTCTGCATGCGATCCGTCTCGTCCAGATCCTCATCCCTGAGATCCCGTTTGATCACCACCACCGGCGGCGGCTTCTGCTCCGGTCGCGACAGCGTCGGTGGTCCGGGAGAGTTGGTGCCGCGATTGCCGCGTCGCTGGCGGATGGCCAGCACTAGGCGGCGTGGAATTGACATGATGATGACAACATCGTCCAGCGACATGTGGGTCACGTCCACCAAATTGACGGCCAGGATTTCATCGCCCACCTACGCAGGACACGAAACGCCTCATTAGTAGAGATCACTCTCCCTCTCCGCATTGATTGACTCACCCTCAGACAGCCGCTGTTGTAGACCGCCGATTCCAGGGCAATGCGGGAAATGAAGACGCCATCGGTGCGGTCGGCACCGTTGCCCTCGCGTATGTACAGGCCCAGCGTCTGGCCCGGCCGCTTGACAATCTCCACCAGCTGGACTGTGTGCCTGCCATCGGCCTTGTTCATCAGCTTGTGGGCCGCGTCCACCGCCTGCTTGCTGCCCATGGAGCGCGGCTCCAGGATGCGGACAATCATCTCGCCGCGTCGCTCCACCGCATCCAGGGCCGCCGCCGTATTCGGGTCATGGTCATTCTCAACGGCCTCTATCTGGCGAAAGATCTCCGAGCTGATGCCGCTGACCTTGCGAAAGTCACCCTGCAGCAGCACCGGATCCTTGACGCCGCCGCCGGTGTTGCCGCTCTGTCCGCGATTCTGGTGCTGGTTGCCATGGTGCTGCTGCTGCTGCTGGTTGCCATGATGCTGCTGCTGCTGCTGCTGCTGGTTGCCGTGCTGCTGGTTGCCCAGCGAAGACAGCTGGTTGGCGGGCAGCGGTCCGGGTGGGGCGCGTCCCGGACTGGCGGTAACATCAGGAACTGATCTTCCATTCTCCTGCAAAAGCGAACATCAAACACGCATTGCCAGTGGTTAGTTTTGCGAGTACATAATTTATTCGCGTAGCTTAATGCTAATTTCGAGTGCAACGCGCTGCCGCATAATTTAAACTAATTGTTGCAGCTGTTGCCACTGCCACTGACAGCAGCCGAAGGGGCTGCCCCCCCTGGCACTTAAGCCGCGCTAAAAGATTTAGCTTTGCATTAATTAAGCTGATTTTCCGCCGCTTTTAAATATCACAGAAACTTGAAGGCAACTAAAAAAAAAATAAAGAAGCAGTTGCCACCCCCCACCCCGAACGTATTTCAAACTATATTTTCTTTAAATCAAACAGAAAGTCTATCTTAATATTTCAAATGTCATTGTTTTACTCCTTGCATAAGGAGTCTCATATATCTAAATAGACAAAGACAATTGACCAAAAATCACAATTTTCTCAGATTTCAATAATAAATATTTAATAACAAAAATCAGAAATGAATTTTAATTTGGTTATCCTGATTATAAAAGTTTTATTTTACCACCAACCAGCTGCCAAGCGAAAGATAAAAGATAAGAGATTACTTTTGCTTATTTTTTAAATATTTATTTACTTCTTATATTCAGACAAGCTTCATAGTTCCAACCAATTTGATCGCATATTATGTAACTCTTATAAGTAATAACAATAGATCTGCGAAGGTGTTGCAGCCCTCAAATCCAGCTTGCAACTAAATATAATACGATAATTACAGCTACTGCAGGCTGCCTCTCTGCCCCTCCGCCCCCACCACTCTGTTACGCCAATCAAGCCGGTCTTTTATCGAACGCCCTAGAACGTTGGCAATAATTATTTCATCAGCCGCAGCTCTTTTCTTATCCAAACTGTTCTCACGCCAACTGTAATTTCTGTCAGTGCCACATCACTCGGCCTGCGGCACTGCAATGCACTCGGTGCGCGGCAGCGGTAGCGGCAGCGGCAGCGGCAGCGGAGGCGACAGCCACAGTGACATGCAAGCTTAAGGATAGCCAAACGAGCCAACTGTACCGAACACGTGACGCCCGTTGATGATGTCACATGGCGAGCGACAGCCGCCCCAGTCCAGAGCCCACACCCAGGCCATAGGCCACAGGACATAGAACACAGGACACGGGACACGGGGACATAGGACACGGGATAAAGTTCACAGCAACAATGTACAACTTTGATTTTTTCATGGGATGGGCGCCACGAAATTGGTTTTAAATTAAGTTGCCGACCAAAAGCTAAACGAAGTTTTTAATGGATTAATGTTAGGACGAGTCGGGACATGCTCGGCTGTGAAAAGAGTGAGGGAACGGGTGGGTGGGATTGTCCTGGTCAGAGCGAGCTGCCTGCGGGCACAAATTGTGGTCAGCCCGCCATTGTCAAGTGCTGAAGCTACAGACTCTATCGTTAAAGTGGCGACTCCTCCTAAACTGGCAGTCAGCCTCTCTCTCTCTCTCTGTCGGTGGTCTATGCTCTGCTCTGCTCTGCTCTTCTGTGCGGTTGCCAAAAATCATGTTCACAAGAGAAGGAGCAGCAGCAACAAAAACAACAACAACAACAACAACAATAGAAAAATGGGAAGAAATCTTTGAAATTGCAAAACTTTGACATGTGTCGGTGTCCTCTGACACTCCTCCCTTGCCCTGCTTTGTTGCTGCTGTTGGCCAAAACTTTCGTCAAAGTTGCCCCCAGGAGCAGAGCGGCTGAGCGGCCAGAGGAGCGGCCACATCAGCAGCTGTCGTTGAAGCTGAAGTTTTCGGCCTCGCGTCCTCTGTTTCGTTTCGTCCATTTGCTCTTAGTCAAATAGGCATTATTATATGGCTATATTCCATGAAAGTCTGCTTTTTGTTGCCTGTTTTGCTTCCTTTCGGAGCGCCAGGCTCCCTCTGGCGGTTATAGCTCTTGCTGCTGCTGCTGCTGCTTCTGCTGATGATGATGTTGCCTCTGCTGCCGCTGATGCTGCTGCTGCTGCTGTTGTCGATGGCAAAGTTTCTGCTTCGCTGGCATTAAACTATTAAAGTGTGTTTACTGTAATGGTATTTCGGTGTTGGTTTTTTTCAGTTTGCCAACTGCAAATGCATAGCTAAATAAATAATTCAAGCGGAATTCCTAGGGCCACCATTAACACACAAACACACAGAAAGAAATGGTCCTTTTTGGCCCGCCTCCATAGCGTTGCGTGGGTGTACGCTAAAGGTACAACAACAACAACAAAAACTGGGGCGTGTCTCAGCCAAACAACTGTATTCAATAAAAAGAACTGGGCTCACACAGCAGAAGAAGGCGGCACAACGGCCCCATTGTTGATGGCTCGCATTGTGGGCTTGCTTGCTGCTGGCCGCTAACGAGACTTGGCCGGGAACAACACATTACTGTCGATGGTGTGTGCATCGCGTGCAGGCTTAAACGCAGGCAAGAGGCAGAAGGCCAGAGCCAGAGCCAGAGCAAGAGCCAGAGCTCTAAATGGACACATGAAGTGGCAAAGCAATAGCCAACAGCCAACACCCCGGTCCAAGCTGTCAGCATACAATTTATGCACCCACCCAACCATATGATGTGCTGTCCTTTCCACCCACTGTTGTCCTATGTTGTCTCTACCACACAGTCTTATGCCGCATGACCACTTGAAGTTCAGTGGCAGTCAGTTTTATGCCTGCCTCAATTTCTTTCACACATGGAAATTTTCTAATTCAATAATTCATCATGTTGCCTCGACGTGTTTTCTTTTTTTTTTATGCCTGATTTTTTGATGGTGTTTGCAGTTTTTTCCACCGCATAACTCGAGGGGTTTTCCACTCACTTTGCGGGTGTAAATTATTCACAGCGAGTCGCGCACTTAATTAGCAAGTGAATAGTTTATTAACCGGCAAATCCAATAAGTTCAGAGTACTCGTAGAAGAAAATTGCCAGTGGGTAAGGCAGGAAGAGCGACTATCTGGAAAATTACCAGGGCAAGGCGGCTTATGTAAAGCGTCTTTAGGCAAAGCCCAAGAGTCTAGTAGGGCACATGTGACTCACAGAGCCACCCACACCCACACACACCCACACAGGGCTCGGGGCTCTGGCTGTTTAAACTCATTTCAACTTCATTATGTTGTCGGGCTGGGCTGTCTAGCCACAGTCCCTCCCGCACCCTGCTGTGTGACTACAACTAATTGAAAAATAGTCAAGACATCTCCCCGTCTGAGTTTGGCAAGCTTTTTTAATTATGGATGATTTTCCTCAGCCTGGCAGAGGCTAAAACTATTCCAGGGCCAAAGCCAGACGCACGGCGGAGATTGAAGGAACAGCCAGTCGAGGAAGTTGCGTGACAACACAAATCAATAAAATCATTTTTAGTGCCTCCTACAGCCAAAATAAAACACAAGCTCTCCCAATCGGAAATTGACTAAAATTGTAATTATGTCAGAGCGGCCGCCATTAACAGTAGCAGTGGGAATAGCAGTATAAGTAGCAGTAGCAGTGTGGCAGTATAAGTAGCAGTTGAATACATTAGGCAGAACTTTCTTTGCCCGCTGGCTGTTGGTTCCCAGTGCCTCCCGACTGTGAAAAAGTGCGTCATTTGCTTGGCTGCGTTAATAATTGCTGAGCCATAATGATAATGACTGAGAGCACAAGCACAGTCTGGTCTGTTGGTCCTGGCTCGCACTTTCGTTTTTTTTTTGGGGTGGGGGTTGACTTTCTTCGCTGTCGTCTGTCAGCTGTCTCAGAGCCCGTGTGGCCCAACCCTCTGGCCTGGCTGATTGATTGTCTGACGCATTGATTGATTGCTGGAGCATGTGATTTGGCAGTGGCCGCTGCCACTGAGATCGCCTTTTGTTTTTCGGCTAACTCATTCGGACCCTGGCATAGTCTGTGGAATAATTGATCTGGCTTTTTCCATTGTTGGGGGCTGTCCATTAGTATTGATGAAATTGATTTCGTTTTTGGGCCGATACAATTAATAATTCGAAACAGTAGTAGCAAGTCATGTTATTTGTCTAATGGTCCTTAAACTGATAGCCAAACACACGCAAGTGGGGGTACTGGGAGAGGGACCCCATAACTGGTAAGGGTAGGCCGGGAGGCCGGGAGCTTTGGTCAACTTTTAATGGCCATAACGTGCTTACAACTTAACCACTCAGCAATTTCCACTCAGCTTTTCATGATGAACTTTCCGGTTCCCAGGAATTAGGTAACATTTTCGGGCCAAATTTTAACCACATTTTGTTGCATAATTTGTTTCGGGAAAATGTAATATTTTTGCAACCAGAACATCGGTCAGAGTTTATGTTTAGCATTTCACTCTGGGCCCAAAGGCATTTGGCATTACATTTAGCATTTATATAAATCCATTTCCTTCAGCTGGCTGGCAAAAACAGCGCATATATGGCTCTCACTTGGAAATAATAGAACAATAGAATCAAACCGAGCCGTAACCGTAACTGAAACCCACCTAGAGCCCACACAAAACAAAAGGCCAAATAATTATAAATTTAAATGCCTTCCAGGCATGCCCCTCGCATGGGGACATTGGGTATTCCCTGTGCTCTGTGTGCTCTCCATGCCAATTACATGTCAGTTCGCCGGAATTTTCGGAATTCACTGACAACAATTACAATTAAATGGCAAATGCACAGCGCACACCCGGAGAGACCGGAGACCCAGAGCGACAGAGACCGAGACCGAGAGAGTGAGGAAGAGGACAGTGAAGCAGCCACAGCAGCAACAAAAACAGCAATGTTAATAATAGTTGTCACTTGCAGCTGCGCTAATGTCAAAATATGTGGCACAAGAGCAGGAACCGACAGACACAGGGTCCACAACAATGAAGACAGCAACGGAGCCGAGCCACTGGCTGAGGCAGTGGCAATGCCAGAGTGGAAGTGGGAGTGGGAGTAGCTGTTGCAGTGGCAGTGGCAGAACGTGGCTGAAGCAGTAGCTGTGGCTTGACTACTCCTGAATTGAATTGGTTTGGGTTTGGCTTCGGTGTACGGGTCTGAGACTAAGA